TCTGGGGATTTCCTTCATTTTTCTCTTCTGTTAGATCTGTTTTCCTTGATTCGGTCTTCCTCTCTCTTGTTTTCCCCCCTCTAGCTTTACTAAGGCATAATTGTGTCTTTCTCTTTCTTGATTTACTTTCTATTTTTGGTGGTGCACATCCTCCAATAGCTTTGATGAAGGGTACTTGAGAGGTAAATTTGTTGAGAACTTGATTGTCTGAAAACGTTTTTATTCTACCCTCACACTTAATTGATAGTATGGCTGGGTATAGTTTCTAGTGCCATAGACTGAATGTTGGTATCCTCCCAAAATTCATATGTTGAAACTTAATCCACAGTGTGATGGTATTTGGAGGTGGACATTTCCTGCCCTGCTTGGGAGCCAGAGGTGTGGAAGACCTCCTGGTGTGCACAATAAATCTCTTCATGTCTTCTTGGCATGCATCTGGTGTCGTCATTATTGACATTTGAACCTATTCCTCATCTGCAGAGTGACCACAACACAACTCCACCACTTACTAGCTGAATGTTCTTGGGTAAATTACATAATCTTTTTTCCACCTGTTTTCTGTTTGTAAAATGGGGATAATAACAGCAATTATGCTGTTGTATTAAAGATTAAATAGGTTAATACACATTAAGTGCTTAAAGCAGTACCTGACACATAGCAAAAATTCAATAAGTGTTATCACTGGTGTGAACTTTTTTTATTCAAAGTTTTAGGCACTTGAGTTCTTCCAATTAGACTCAGGTTAATTCATACCTGAGACATATTCTTGGTATTTAATGTATCCTTCCCTCTGTTCTCTACTTCTAGAACATTTCTCACACATTGTGTCCTATTTTCTATCAAATTTCCTTTTTATTTTGCTTTATGGGACATCTTCTCAACTTTATCTTCCAGCTCTTTTGTGGCCTTTATATTTATTCTCTTTTTAATTAAGAGTAGAATCCCTGTTTTTTAGCTAGACATTTCTCTGAAGAAGATATACAAATGTCCAATAAGTACATGAAAAGATGCTCAACTTCGCTAATAATTAAGACAGTGCAAACCAAAACCACAATGAGATACTATTTTACACTCAGTAGAATAGCTATTGTTTTTTTTAAAAAAACACAGAAAGTGTTTGTGAGGATGTGGTAAAATCGGAACACTTGTACACTATTGGTGGGGATGTAAAATATGCAGCTGCTGTGGAAAAGAGTATGGCTGATCCTCCAAAAGCTAAACATGAAATTACCATATGATACAGCAATTCTGCTTCTGGGTATATACCCAAAAGAACTAAAAGCAGGGATCTGAACAGATCATTTGTACACCAATGTTCATAGCAGCATTAATCACATAGTCAAATTCCATTAATGGATGAATGGTTAAACAAAAGGTGGTATATACATATGCATATACTCTTCAGTATATATAAATAGTATGGAAAATTATTCAGCTTTAAAAGAAAATGAAGACCTAGTAAAAGAAACGAGTCATAATGGACAAATATTATATAATTCTGCTTATGAGTAATCAAATTAGTAGAGACAGAAAGTAGAATGGTGATTTCTAGCTAATGGGGGGAAAAGGACATGGCGAGTTATTGTTTAGCTAGAGGCCCAGTGCACGAAATTCATGCACGGGGCCCGTGTGTGTGTGCGTGTGTGTGTGTGTGGGTCCCTCAGCAAAGCGTGCACCGTCTCCAATCTGGGAGCAGGCCTAAATGGGCAGTCGGACATCCCTCTCATGATCCAGGACTGCTGGCTCCCACCTGCTTGCCTGCCTGCCTGATTGCCTCTAACTGCTTCTCCCTGCCAGCCTGATTGACGCCTAACTGCTCCCCTGCTGGCCTGATTGCCACTAACTGTCCTCCCCTGCAGGCCTGATCGCCCCCAATTGCCCTCCCTTGCAGGCCTGGTCTCTCCCAACTGGCTCCCATCTTGTGGCGGCCATCTTGTGTCCACATGGGGGCAGCAATCTTGTGTATTGGAGTGATGGTCAATTTGCATATTACTCTTTTATTAGATAGGATGAGTACAGAATTTCATTTTGGGATGATGAAAATGTTCTGGAGATGGAAGTGGCAATGGTTGCACAACAATGTGAATGTTCTTGTGCACTCTGATGAACTGCATACTTAAAAATGATAAAAATAATAAAATACATGTTATGTGTATTTTACCACAATAAAAATTAAGAGATACTCTTCAAGGATGAAAATTTATCACCATGACAGCAATAGGATGTGGGGAAGGGTTGATGGATTCCTCTTGTCTCCCTCTCTCCAACTGACACCATCCCCTACAGCTTCATAACTGGTCATTGTCTCCTATCTGGGCCTTTGGATGCCTATTTATTCTGAATATTACTACCAAATATCCACCTGGCTATTTCCCTCCTGCCTTTTTTGGCTTCCCTAGTTTCTAGTAAGAAGTCTGCTATATTTCCTATCTTGTCCCCCCATGTATGCAATATACCTTTTTTCTCTGCCTGTTTTTAAGATTTTCTCTTTATCATTGGTGATATCCAGTAATGAATTTATAAGAGACAGTGTTAGTGGTAGGGAGGGAAATGACAGGTCCCCACCAACGACATCTCATTGCTATCCTGTAATAAATCTTCATCATTGAAGAGTATTTCTGGTTGTGAAAGGATACCGTATGGACCTGAAGACCCTGGTTTTCAAAGCTATGAGGTAATGTAAGCGATAGCGTGCCCTACACCGAAAGGCCACCTTAGGAAAAGAAGCAGTGGAGGGTATGGGGCAGTTATCTTGAAGGCAGTTTGTTGTTTTTTCTAAAAGAGATGTGTTTTGCCTGGCTGGTGTTGCTCAGTGGTTGAGCATCAACCCATGAACCAGGAAGTCAGCGTTTGATTCCCAGTCTGGGCACATGCCTAGGTTGTGAGGTGTGAAGTAGGGGTTGTGCAGGAGGCAGCCAATCAGTGATTCTCATCATTGATGTTCCTCTCTCTCCCTTTCCTTTCCTCTCCCTGAAATCAATAAAAATATAAAAATAAAAAATAAGAGTTGTGTTTCTTGTAGGACCCATTTAAATGATCTAATCAGATAAAGCTTAAAACAAGAGCAGGCAATCCTGAAAGGATCTATACTTAATAACACACGTTGGAAATCTTTGAAGCAATGTGACTAGTGCAATGTCCTGGCCCTGCTTATCAATCACCTTCCCACTCTTCACATTATTCACATCTCTATCCAATGTTCCTTCCTCAAACAGCTCTTAAACTAATCATTCTACCCAAAATAGCCATTTCCTCAAACATTCTTTACCTTGCTTTATTTTTCTTTGTAATACTTAATCACAAGATGACATTTTAGCACTTATTAGTTACTTGTTTATCGTCAGTTTCCTCCACTAGAGAATAAGTACCATCTTCATTGTTTTATTCACATCAATTACTCAGAGCACAGACCAGAGCATATGCTCAATAATACTTGTTGATTGAATGAATTTAGTTATGCATGGATTTACTTTATATTATTTATATGAAGTACATATTTAACATCTGTTGCACTATTATGTTATTTAATCTGACATTAACTATCGTTTTCATTTTTATCAATTATCCACTCATTGTGCAATCACTTACCGAACCTCTACTTGGTGTTATGTATATAGTTAGCATGCGAGGTGGGGAGAGACCAAAAAAAGTATAACGTAAGACGTCCATAAAGAAGTCCCCGCTTCCTGATGAATAAATTAGAAGTCCTTAGCAAGCAAAATTGGACACCCTAAATCCAGGGGGAAATCAGATTGTATGTTTTTAAAAACACTCCAGCAGTTAGGTGTGTTTCTATAAATGCTTCCTTCCACTCCCTCAAACGGCCCAACTCCCCAATTTTCCGCCAGAGCCATCTCCTATCCCGCCTTACTCAAAGCTCCTTCCCTGGAAACTGACAGCTGGGGAAACCCCACTGAGGCCCGCCCCTCCTGTTATCCTGAGTGGCGCAACCTGTGGGAGGGCCTGCGGGACCGACCAATGGGATGAAGCGGGAGCAGGAGCCTGGGTCAACAAACGCAGAGGTGCTGCTCCTGCGGCTCCTCCCCGCCGGACGCCCAACGCTTTGGCCCGAGGCCTATCCAGGACGGAAAGAACCGAGGGAGCAAAGAGACAGATGTTAATACCAATCAGAAGCTGGTACTTCGGGGGGAGTGGGCGGGAACTACTTCACATTTAAGCCAATAAGCATCACACGTGCCCTGTTAGGTGACTGAGCGGCATCCTCTTCGGCCCAATAGATGAATAGGGCGGTGCCAAGCAACCAATAGCTTGGGTTCGGGGGCGGGGTGAGGAGTCAGTGCGCTTTAAGAGGCCACCTGGCGAGTGGTGGGGCGCTCCTCGGCGCTGTGGCTCACGCTCCGGTTCGGGAGGCCGAGGCTGTTCTGGCGGCGGCGACCTCTGAGGC